CATGTGTATATTAATATAAACTATATTCATGTATCAAGTATACACACAAACACTTGAAAGATTAATTTTATTATTTAAATATCTAAGACTCAATAATAACAACAACAACAAAAACAACAACAACAACAACACCAACAACACCAACAACAACAATAATAAATATATGTTGAATATCCAGCTGGTCAGATATCATTGACTTGTATGAAAACAGCACCTCCGAAATGCAAAATACTTATTTTAAGCCACTGTTAGTCATTTAAATTAGTTATTTATTTTAAATTCTATAACTATAAAATTCACAATTTCCTCAGGTTTATTTTGAACCATAGTTTGTAAAAATCATGCAAGAAATAAGAAATTTATAAGAGTTTTTCATCAGGAAGACGCCTCACAGTCCATTGACCTCCATTCATTCTGTTGAGGCTCCTCAGTGCAGAACAGAGCTCCAGTGTGGGCACGTTGATGTAGCTAGCAACATGCTAGCCACGCCCACTCCAGTACAATGGTCTGGATGGATTTACACGTCTCCCTGAGCGCAGATAAACTTTTTGATCTAATTCTCAAAGATCAAATGAGACGCCCTCGCTTTAATTAATAACTAAAACCTGAAGGCTTCAGCAGAGATCAGGTTTACACAGAAAAACACCCAGTTTGGCTGAACTCACCTGGATGACCGGCAGAGACGAGTGCTTCTTCTCCAACCTCTTCACGTAGGCCGTCAGCTCCAGAGCCTCCTCGTAGTAGCCGTTCCGGACACACGTGTCCATCAGCTGAGGGATCTCCAGGATCTCCAGGATCTCCGTGTGGCGGTTCAGAGTCAGGCTGTTCATCCGGCGGCTCGCYCCGATCTCCTCCGCCTCCTTCATGAAGGCCCTGAAAGGACAAAAACACYGACGTAAACAGCTAAAAAAGTGACACCATGTTTGACCAGGGTCCTTGTGTGGACCGTGAGACCCTTTAGTTTTAATGTTGTGGGTCCAACACTGAGGAGTTTGAATGGTTTAGTGTTCAAACTGGACTTAATGTGGTCCAAACAGACCAAACAGAAATGATATTATCTGCTCATATTCAGGCCCTGGTGTCAGTAAGTAGGGACGTTGACATGTCAGCAGCTGCTGCCACTTTCTTCCCAAACTGCTGTGACCAGACTGTACAAGGCTGCTCTGTKTGCTTTTTATTTCCTCCTGCTTCGTTATTTCTACAGATTTCAACAAAMMGCGCTGACGTCAGCTAGTTAGCTACAGCCTCGTCTTCCAGTTTGTAATTTTTGTTGATGAGTTATGAAGAGACGATTTTCTGAAAATAGGATCAAAGTAAATCACCAGAGTTTTTCTAGTGACCCTTAAAGCAGGGGTGGGCAATCCTGGTCCTCGAGGGCCGCAGCCCTGCAGGTTTTATGTTTTCTCTGCTCCAACACACC